TTATTAAATGGCCATCTCTATTGCAGACTCATTCCCTGCAAGTAACGAAAAAGAAGACAAGTAGGGAGCAGGTCCAAGCAAGTCACGCAAGGTCTGTGGACAGAAAGTGGCAGAGGAAATATACCCCAAACTGAGATTCTGTTGATAGCCTTTGAAGAGAAACAGACACAGCTCTGTATAAACATAGCATCCAGGAATTTTAGAGATGGGCAATGGTTTAGATATGGAGTGGAAAACACCCTGCACTGGGACTCACAAGTGCTAGTCAGATACTACTAATGAACTAAGTGATCAGAACCAGTCACTTCATCTCTGGACATTGCTATCCTTGTCTTTAAGGGGATCGAGGAGGCAGCAAAGGAAACAGCTAATGTTTTCTGAGTTAACTCCGCTGCTCAGGTGCTGTATTAAACAAATTACAGATTCTATCTCTTTAGTGGTCACCGTAATCCCACAAAACAGGCACTTATCCAAGATTTAGATGGAAGAAATCCCAAACTGAGGATCCCTAGTCTTTTCTGCAGAGCCATGACTGCTTCCCTGAAACAGGGACGAATATTACATGGTCACCAACATTCCTCTGGTTCCCAGATTCCAGACTGCTTTAGTTCATACCTGGCCCCTTCCTTCCACAGCTAAGCCGGAATGATACAGAAGTTGTTGGTATTGGCAAAAGTAGGAATTGGCAGAAAGAGGTTGTAACTGGCTTTTGTTTCCTTCTTCAGCAAAGGCAGGGACTAAGTGCATGACTCAACACTGCACATTTTTATTATTAGATGATAATCTCAAAAATGCATTTACTTCAGTTTTTTAAACTGTTTTAACTTATAAAGCATGGAAAATCTCAAGGGAAGACCTGGGGGAGACATCTCGTTGACTCACCAGAGACTGGAATTTTCTCATAATGATGATCAAATCCTTAGGTATTTAACAAACATATCCAAGAAAATGCACACACTATGTAAAAAACCTGAACCGAACCCCTTATTTAATTTATTAAAAATATCCTAGATTAGTTGACTATTCAAGGTGAATTGGGTAAAATAATTCTCTTTAAAGTGGAGTAACTTTTCCTTTAGGGATTCTAGTTTTTTATCGGCAAGGTTTTCACCAAAGTTCAGGTGATCCAAAAATAGATTCTAAATGAATTTTTTTATTTTTTCCATGGCAAAAATACTTTCTAATCACCCTAAATACGTTAATGCCTTTTATTGTTTCTAGCGCATTGAAATCATGATTGATCATACTGCTAACCTTGTGAAGAAGATAAGGCATGTATCATGCTATCTCCTGTGCATAAGAGGAAACTCGGAAATAAAAATAGTGGGGTAAATCATTAACCCTATATCACAGAGCATAATTAATAGGTAGCTGACACTAGGAAGCTAGTCCTACTGTCTCTCTGTCTCTTGGGGATTGGCTTCCTGTCCTATTAGGCTAATGATTTAAACTTATTTCCACATGCAGACATGACAGAACAGAGGTGAATATTACACAATGGCTTGCAATTCCCCGTTTGGTGTGCAAATCCAATCATTGTGGGCCTGCTACTGTGATTTCTATACATGTACTTTAAAGAAATTTGAGCCAGGCACAGTGCTGCATGCCTGTAATCACATCTACTAGGGTGGCTGAAGCAGAAGGCTTGCAAGTTCAAGACCAGCCTGGGCAACTTAGATACTATTTCAAAACAATAAAGTAAAAAGGTCTGCAGAAGTGAATCCATGGTAAAGGACTAAAACACTATCATACTTGGGGTTCTGTGTTCAGTTCTTAGCACTGCAAAAACAAAACAAAACAAAACAAAGCAAAACAATAGTTGGAGTTAAAAAATGGCCCATGAATCGACTATTCTGGCTAGTAAACCACATTTTCTATACTCTTTGTAGTAAAAATTCTTCCTTAAACAGTAACAAAAAATACAGCACCCAGGTCAGCTATATTTCTGAATTGCTTGAGCTAAAGACTTGGAGATTGGAGAAACTCAGGATTGCAAATATTGCACACAGAGATCTGACACAAGTGGCATGGAATACTAATGTCATTGGAAATTCTCTGTGCTTGCAGATCAAAATATCATCAGCAATAACCTCCCTGGAAAGAAGCTCTTGTAAAAATAATCTCAACATTTAGTCAAACTGATTTCTTGTAGCATAGAGAACAGGCTGCCACATTCTACTCACTGTGCTCCTGGGACCCCTCTTGTGATTTCTTGTCTTCATGCTTTGCCTTTGTTACTCTTTCCTTTCTATTCTAAACTAACCCAGGGCTAGCAGTACAGTTAAATTTCCCTTTGACTCCGTAAGATAGCTTGGCTTCTCAAATAGAGTTCCTCCTCCTCCTCTTCCTCCTCTTCTTCTCCTTCTTCTTCCTCTACTTCCTCTTCCTCTTCTTCTTCTCTTCTTCTTCTTCTTCTTCTTCTTCTTCTTCTTCTTCTTCTTCTTCTTCTTCTTCTTCTTCTTCTTCTTCTTCTTCTTCTTCTTCTTCTGCTAGCCTCTCTTCAGTTGTCAAGGTAAGACCTATGGTTTTTACTTTTTGTGTATCTCCACAGTGATTCTGCCTTACACATCACATGAATTTCTATCTTGTCCTTCTATTCCCCAGAAGGGAACTGTAACAATCCTAGCTACAATCTTGAGTATTACTGTTGTCTCTGGGGTTAAGGTCTGCACATGTAGCACATACAAAGTACAAGAATAAGTACATCTCCCAAGTTTTTTGAACCTTAAAATTTAAAACTAACATCTCATGCTAAATTTGCATACTTACCTCACTAGCCCCACTCTTAACTTTTTTCTCTGTTGGATCTTGTCTTTATATAATTATTTTCATTAAGTTTATTGGCATATTTTAGGTATACAATACAGTTACTTTCATCACTGGGAACTTGTACCTTTACATGATATATCTTGGTTCTTATTTTTCCCCATTCACCTGCCTTCCCTTCAACCCCTCCCTCTTTACAAAGACTCTGTTTCCATTTTTTCCTTTTCTCATATTTTTCCTTTCCCTTCTTTCCTGTCCCTTATCCCCCCACTTCCTCTACCCCTTTATTGATACAGTATTTTGTTCCAAATGGAATTTTTGCATTTATTTGAATACTTTAAAATATTGTGTTAAATATTACTAGTGAGTTCCCTTGTGCCCCTTGAATTTTGAATGGGAGGCAAATACTTCATTGCCTTCACCCTTCAACCAGTAATTATTTTGTGTACACAAACAGTCCTGAAGTTTTTCTTTTTTTATGGCAATCCACTCTCCTATCACCACCATACTTTAAAACAAACTCATAACTATTAACTTTTTAAAGTAAGTTTTTTTTTTTTATTGTTTCACTCTAATAAATGGAAAGGGACCCGGAAATCCATGGTTCTCAGAAAGATTGTGGTCCAGACATCCACAAAAGAGCCCTGTATTTTGATAGCTGGCATTCTGTTTGCTAGAAGGCATCCAGAGGGAAAAAGAATAGCTTCTGGCTACTGAGTGTGGGGCATATCTGAGTGTGAGGGTTCAGACAAGGAAGACATGCTTGCGCTGCACCAATTTTGCCGAAAACAAAAAGTCACATGCTATTCTTCTCTAGATACTTTTGTTCTCTTGAGACTATTTATAGGCTGATATTTCAAAGTTGTACAATGCTAGCCACTTCATTTTAAGCTCTTCCTACATACAAACCTCAATGAGTAGGTCTGAAAGAGTCAGCCTATGAGTTTAGAGAGTGGGAAACAATGGTAGGCATTTGTAGGATTTTAGATGATGAAAAATATGTACACATATGCCCCTTCTTCGACTTTTCAATGAAAACTGTATAGGGCTATGCATCAGACATTTGTTCAGAGAAAATGGTTAATTAAGCCATTTGCAAAGAAGAATGGATCCTTTAAATCAGCTCTGTAGATTAGATGTATATAGATCAGCCTTATATGTCAAGGATTTTATCATTGAAAAAGAACATTTAGAAACCTGGTGGATATTGATTTCTTTAGAAACTTAAAACATATGATCCCACTATGTAAAACTTGTGACCTACAACCTCATTTTATCATTCACTTAAGTTACTACAGAGACTTGAATAATTTTGTAGAGTCTGATTATGGAGCAAGAATTTTCCTACCTCTAGAATCTAAATCATTCTGTAGAGTGTTTAACTAAAATGTAGAAAATTCAGTAGATTTGATAAAGTTTTTGAAAATAATTTTCTCTTAAGAGGGAGATAATGCCAACTGTATTTGTGGAACTTTATATCTATGGGGGTCTAGTTGCTGTTTTAAAAAGATAATGGAGGTTTAGTTTTTCTACACCTACACCCTTTGAAAAAATAAAAACAAACTTGAGAAACTAACCAGTGAAATTTTAAGTGAGTAGTTTATTAAAGAAGATCTTCCTGTTATAGTCATAAGAAAAATTTTCTCATGACTTCAAGATGTAGGTTGCTTATTGTGATTTCAGCATTCCACTGCTTGGCAGAATAGAAATTAGAAACACTATATTTCCTAGTAATGCATCTCTTTTGGTTTTGGTATAGAAGTTGCAATGTGGCCTATGAAATGTTGTCATAGAGTTCTGAATTCTGGTACTTTACTTAAAATCCTTTCATATTTATTTTTATCATCTCAATTCTCTTCTATTCAGATGTATGTTTACATAATAAAGAAGCATAAAACATTTGTATTTAGAAGCAAAAGCAAAATATCCTTGTGTTTACTTAATCAGTTAGTGGCTAGGGAAAGCATGAAAGCAGATTTACATATATTTGAATATGGACATATGTGTAATCATCCTGAGACTGTATTGATTTTTATCAATTTCAATTTTTTATTTCAGAAAAAAAGACATTTATGGAAACCGAATCAGGTTAGCTGTATAATGAAATGTAATTATTTTGATTTTTCTTACTGTTTGGATTCTACAATTTAAGTTTTATCCTGAATTGTTTTAAACTTTTAATATCACTAATATTGAAAGCTCTAAACCAGAAATTATTTCTCTTTTCTTAACAGACTGGCAGGAAAGAAAAAGGAGATCCTCTAAACATTGCAATTGACAAAATGACCAAGAAAACAAGAGATCTCAGGAGACAGGTAGGTTTTGTTGTTTGTTTGTTTGTTTGTTTCTGCTTTAAGTGCGTGGTACTTCACAGTGATTTCCCTTAATATTCTTTTTCAGGGTGTCTTTTTGAGCTTATATTCAGATTTATTTCATCTACGTATGCACAGAAACATTTTATTAGGAAAGTAGAGATTAGTGAGCAGAGAGATCTGCTGGCTGCAAGGCTAATGATGTTAACAATTCACGAGGAATAGCTTCTACCTTCACAGATGCATTCTTCTCAGGAAAAGACTTGAATTCACTGCTTTCTACACCTGGTATAAAGTTTTCCAAATCCAGTCTGCCAAGAACTTGTCTCTGATCTCTGGTAGTTCTCATTTAAACTCCCAAGGCATTAAATGTTAAACTAAAATGCTAATGGTTAATGAGAAATATAACTCTAAATCTGATAGGCTAATTAAGGTCTATGGCCCAGTATATTCCCTTTGGAATATAAATCTAAAATGTTTGTTTATCAGATGGTTGTTTGGAAGCAAGGAACCAATGCTTTGGATGATTCAGTTGGCTTATGGCATCATTAGTCTGACAGGTCTATTTTTCTTGGGGGGAAAAATTATCTCTGTTTGAGGCTCCTTTTTACCTTGAAAGTGTTGTATGAATACTGGTAAATGTATTGAAAGCCTTATTTTATGTTTGTAGGATGAACTCTACTTTCTTTAGTAGTGTTCTTCCTCTAGAAGAGATTATGCCATGCATTAAGTTACAATTAAACCTCATCTTGATTTCTGCTTGACTGGCATTCAATCATCTAAGAGGAACATTTTCACATGTCCTTTTACACAAGAGAGTGTTGCTTGTAAGTTAGCTTGAACAAACCATTGCCCCAGATGACACCTGCTATACTTTCTGCAGCTGAAGACCTGGATTAGTCCCGCTGCATCTAGCATTCACTTCTTTACAGACAAGGTGCCTGGGCAAGAGTGGCTGAGAAGCATCTTAGAAATGGTTGAAATGAAAACATAGCACTTTTTATTATTGCTCAGGAACATCTGGGCTGTCTTCAGAATATTACCTGAAGGTGAGGACACATTTAAATTAATGTCATCCAGAATACACCATAGTTCTGGAATCTGAACAATCTCATTTGACTGGCCAACTACCAAGCCCTGTTGAAATGAACATTTTCTTTTTATTTTACCTTGAAATAATACATAATAAAACATTGTCTGAAGGCATTCGTGAGTAGTACCAGATATATATATATATATATATATATATATATTGAGGTCTGCCTTTCTTTACTCTTATATTTTGTCTGATATGAAATGATGTGGGTAATAGAAATTGGGAAGGGGTTAAAGGAAAAGATTGAATCAGGTATCTGGACCTAAGTGTAAGTCCTTATTTATTATTAAATTGACAGGATGATTGTGGGTCCTTCATGCCTTGATCTCTTTTTCTTACATGTAAGGTAGCCAAACTAGATATGCAAAGTCTCCTTGAGCTTTAAATTGTATGAATCCAAGGAAAATTCTCATTTCCTTAGCTAGAGATTCTAAGGCATGGTAATCACAGATTTTTAAAGCAATGAGACAACATCTCTAGGGCTTGCCTTCAGGAGATTTTCAAGCACAAAATTCATGAAGTGAGGCCTCCTACATCTTCATCTCTTGGCTTTAACAAGGATTATGCTTTTACATGCAGAAGCCAGCACTCTTAGTTCTTTACACTCTTGGAGCTATCATAGTAGGTTTTTGCCTTATTAAGAAGGAATAAATAATTTTTACTCTGGTGTTATAATTCCCAGAAAAAGGTTGATTCTTTTCACCAAAGGGTAGTAGTGAAATTTGAAGGTGGAATTTATTGTGGAATTTTTAATGACTAGGAAGCAAACTCAGGAAGCTTCATTTATGGTGGAAGGATTATATCCTCCTCTGAAATCATTCCATGTATACTATTTTTTTCTCACCTTTTTAAAGATACAGAGGAATAAAGGAAACAGGAAGACGTTTTCATGGTACTAAGATCCAACAATTTTGGCATCATTTCACACCACATCCGGGAATTTGGTTCAAACACCTTTCTCTTTCTTAATCTGCCTTTCTAGGACTAAAATGGTCCCCATCTGTCAGTTCCATCCTTACCCATATGTTGGGATATTTTTGTCTTTCTTCACCATTTCTCTCTCTCCGTGTACACCTGTAGTGGTACAATAGCTTCTCTGATCTAAATCGGAGCGACCTGGCACTTGTGCAGATGGAACATGCAATGACTAATCTGCTCAGGTCAGGTAAATCATCAGCTTAGATTTGGGTAACTAGTTAATTGAACTAACAGGCTTTTACCTGGGTAAAAGCTCTTGTCTGACAGCCCTTGTAAAACTGTGACCCAGTGAACGCTAGCGGTTTCATGAATGCTTCCCCATAGCAGAGATACTTTCTGTACTTTCAATTACTGATTAACCTTCCTGAGAGCAGATTCTAAATAAGAGCTCTAAATGATCCAGATCTGCTTCCTTGTACACATACATTTCTCTATGTGAAATTCAGAAAAATCATAGGGAAAGAGAGATGAAATCAAAGTTTAAAAAGGAAGCTTTTCTAGTGCTTCTTTTTAATGACTCCCAAGATGGAACTCAGAACCTCATAGTTGCCACTGAGCTACATCTTCAGTCTGTTTTTATTTTATTTTCAGACATTGTGTCTCTAAGTTGCCCAGGCTGACCACAGATTTATGATCCTCCTGCTTCAGCCTCCTGAAGAGCTGGGATTACTGATGTGCGCTATCATGACTAATTATAGTTAAATTCATAATTTCCCATTCCTGAAGCCCGCTACCTCTTCCTCATGGCCCTGTGTTTGGGAAATGTTCTTCAAAAGGGTGACTCTTGAGGTTGCAAAGCTACCCTCACCAAATTAAAAAAAAAGTCCTATCATGATTATGACCCTAATGAAGAAGAGTTAGATTTGTAGACACTTTTAAAAAGCAAGTTTTTCAATAAAAAAGTTTTGTTTTGTTTTGTTTTTTGCAATAGTAGGGAATCAAGCTCAGGACCTTGTGCCTGTGAGCCAGGTGTGGCACCACTGAGCTAAATCCTAGGCCCCCAAAACATCATTGTTTAAGTGGAATTTTTGAACAAGTAGAACTCCCCTCTTTTGAAACAACATATCTAAAAGAACTGGAGAGTTATAAATTGTAAAATAGGTCACAGGAATATGAGGATATTATTTAAAACTGGTTGGCATGGCTCCATCTTGCCAGTTAAGCCCATGATGATGGGCAGTGGTAGGGCTGAATCCTCTTACAAGTATTTTGTTTGGAAGTAAAAATGGATTCATGGGAATATAACTGCCAGCTTCAAGCATTGTGTTCTAATTTTAGAGTTGTGAGGATGGTAGACCCCATGTCTGAGCTACTGTTACTGCTGTGATTCAGGAACCAGACCACTGTGGAAACAAAACCTTTTGACTGACTCCCCATCTGGGTTCCCAGGGGCCCACAGGGTCTGTCCGTTGCTCAGAGAAAATGCAGCCAGTGTCTGCCAGCCCTACTGGCCTGCTCTTCTTCTACCTACCACCTATGAACTAGTCTGGTCTTAATTTTTCCTGCACTTACAAGGATGCTGATTTATCCTGTTTATTATTTTGATCATTTTATTAGTCTTTTAAAGTTAATAAGCAAGTTAGGGACTCAAACACTCCCCAGTGAAAAGTTAATGAATAATGACCATAGTGGTATGGTGTTGCTAAAAATAACCACTCTCATTCTTCAAATCAATCCAAAGCATAACACTTATCCTTTCTAATGGCCATTACAATGATTCTTACAATGAGATTCAGCAAATGTCAATTTGACAACAGCTTTAATTTTGCTGTTGTGATCAAAACATTTTTGACAATAAAATCATGATTAGAATGCTTTTACATTGGATTAAGTACATAGTAGAATGGAAACATAACAAAGGAGTAAAAACAAAAAACACAAAAATGTCACAGGATGGTGTACTTAAATTTCATTTACCAAAATCCTTCCCCCTGAGAGGACCACAGAAAAATCTTCCAAGATTAATAAGAAGCAATCATCATTAAAGAGTTTCTAGCTGCCTCCTTTGAGACACCAGTTCTTATATAAATATGGCTACAGGTGGGCTATCATCAGCAAGAGCTTGTAAAAGCTTTGCCTACAAAACATAAACTGATCTATAGATGACATATTTTGGGTCTATAAAATGTGCCTGGATTGGTTCTAAATTTTCTGTATGTATTGATCACATTGAATTTTCACCATAGCTCTGTGAGATAGAAATATTGTCATGGTGCCCATTTTACAGGTCAGGATAAAAAGTGAACTGAGGTACTCAGATATGTGACAGTTCCTGCTCTGGCAGTCTGGCTGCGGGATCTTTGCTCATGACCTTTACCCCATCCACCTTTCTATAGAACTAGCATTTTTCAAGTGGGTCACCCACGTACTAATCTGTTCTGTGAGAGGTTTGTGAGGAAGAAGAGAGTTTATACAAATATATAGGAGTGCTGTGTGGTTTTCAATAGCACCACTACCACTCTAGGAATTGAGGTGACATGTATGCCCTGCAGACAAAAAAGTAATGATGAATGTCAAAAACTGGTTCTTTTTTTTTTTTTCACCTGGTTCTTGTTGATACCATCTCTTGGGTCTCCAGCTGTCATGCTTTACTGGATTCTCTTTTGAAAAGTGTTGTTATCTTTAGGTATCTCACTTCTAAATGTGTTCTGAAACATTTACAGAAAAAGGAAATATTAAGGCATTCAGGTCTCTTTCTCATATCTGCCTATGATGGGGGCCAATTATTTTTAGACTTTGCTAGATTTGAATCTGTTTTTCTTCATAAGGACATGAGGCTATGTGGCTATGCCAATAGCACAAATAATACTATAATGATTTCTTCAAATGTTAAAGATTTTGTCCTTCACACAGAAACTTTAAGCTGGAGCTAATAATCCCTGGGGATTGGTCCTTAAATCAAATGTCTACACTGCCATGGAAGCTTGGAGGTCAGAAAATAATCATTTACCAAAAGGGATTTTAGATTTAAAAATAAGCATCCCAGTGAGAGCTAAGTATCACATATCAAAATCAAAAAGGCAAGGAAGAGCAAGGCAGTATAGGTAGAGGAAGGTTCAAGCTGGTGGTGAAAGTCCATTCTTTGGCCATGCCCCTTGATCAAGGGTTATATACTCAAGCCACTTCTCACTTAGAGAAATTGTGATAAAATAGCCATTAATGTTAACCCACAACACACTTACTTATCTCCCGAGAAACACTCATCAGGCCAAGTCCAGTGTTTATGATTTCATCCACTGGAAACAGTTTTTAAAATATCACTATGGGCGAGATCTCTCTCTCTCTCTTTTTTTTTTTTAGGTGTTTCCACTTTCTATTTTTTTTGTTGTTAAATTCTGTTATTGGTACATTTTAGATACACAACACAATTACATTTCTCATTGGGAACTTGTACCTTTACATGATTGATCTTGGTTCTTATTATTTCCCCATTCCTAGCCCTCCCTTCACCCCCTCCACCCTTCCCTATTTGCAAAGACCTTATTTCCATTTTTTCCATTTCTCAGCATTTTTCCTTTCCCTTCTTTCCTTTCCCCTGCCCCTCCCACTGCCCCTACCCCTTTGGACCTTTTCTTCCTATTTTGCATTATCGATTATTCATTCTAATCATTGGTACATTTTAGGTATACAGGTATAGGTATAGGTAATGACATTCATCATTGGAAATTTGCACTTTTACATAGTCTCTCTTGGTTCTTATTTTTCACCCTTGCCCAGCCCTCCCTTCAACCCCTCCAGTCCTCCCTATTTACAAAGATTTTGTTCCTATTTTTCCATTTTCTCCTATTAATTCCATTCCCTTCTATCCTTTCCCCTAGCCCTCCCACTTCCTTCCCCTTTGCCCCTTTTCTTCCTATTTCACATTTCCTATTATACGTTTTAGTCCTTATTTACACTTTAAGTTTCTCACACCAGAGAAGCTATTCGGTATTTACACATGTGTGTCCTATTTATTTCACTTAAGAGTATCGCCTCAATGTGCATCCACTTAGCTATAAATGTCTCTAATTTCTTATTTTTTATGGCTGAGTAGTACTCCATTTTATAAAGAAACCACATTTTCTTTATCCAGTCTCCAGTTGATGGGGATTTGGGCTTTTTCCAAGTTTTAGCTATCACAAACTTGAAAGATCTTTATCAATAGATAAAGTAGTTTGCTTCTTCTATAAACAGCATATAGATGATCATTCAAATATTAACTGAAATCCAGGGAGGACATCAAGCTTGATTTCTCTCTCACTGTCAAGTCTAGATCACAGGAAGTGTCTAGTACATTGCCCAACATTGGTTAATCAAATAACACACTAAGCTGTGCAGAAGGTTTGATCAAACACTAAAATGAGTCAGAGCTTCAACTACTGAACTTTTCTTTTCTGCTAAATTCTCCAACCTCTAGCAATCAAAGAGAAATGGAAAGGTAATGGAGTAAATTGCAATAACTAGGTCCAAACACATTTCAGAGAATGTCTCCATTTGCTCTGGTCTCCAACACATTCTCTTGTTTTTGGCAATGAAGATGCCATTACGTATCCTGATTCTGAGCCTAGAAAATCTACTGGAATAGTTTTATAAAATCTATTATATTTTTTCAGGATGAAATTTCTAAATAGGAAAATGTGGAAGTTTTTACAACATGATGACTTAACCTGCAAAGATGTTTGTAGAATGCCATTTCAGTATGGTTGTGCCAAGTTCGTTGTTGGAAACTACTTAGGCTGGGGTTTCTTACCTGACCCTGCCACCAAAAAAAAAGATAATTCTAAAGTGTACTGTACATCCACTACTATGGCCTAAACTGAGGTGTTGCTAGGCCTAATCACCTTGATTCTGGCTGAATGTGTGCTCAGTGGATCATTGTAGTCAGCTTGTGGTCAAAATACATCTGTTCTATTTGACCCCTCCTTGCTAAATTTACCTTTTATTGCCTGGAATGTCTTCTGGCATCAGTTCTCCCAGGGAAAATTTCCATCAAGGCTGCCAATATTTTTTTTATCTCCCCATTTTCCAAGGAGGTTGGATCGATCTGAAATTGAGAAAGTGAGACATTTTCCTGCAGACACTGCCTGGCCTGCTGTTGCCACCTGCTCTGGTGGAAGCTTGATTGCCTAGGGTATCATCACTGGGCAACTTCCTGGTTCCCATGGATGCCATTGTTGATAACTGCTTCTTTCTTAGGAAAAAAACTGTGAAGGAAGTGATGCTAGTGTAATCTCCCTTCACTTATGCTACCTGCCCCTGACTAATATTCTCGGCTGAATGAAATTTCCAGGATATCTTAAAGCCAAAGCCCTTATCCTAATTTGGCCCTACACAGTTGTACACTTTTCACTTTGCCCAGCTTTTCAAGAGAGTTACAGCCCATGCAACTCCTTCCTTTATTATTCTTAAATCCCCGCCAGTCTTTCAGTACTGTTGATACCATCTCCTGAATACATCTTTAGCCTATTCCTCCTTCTGAGCTCTCATTGTGTCTACTTAACTGTTTTTCTTAAAAATAATGGACACAGTCTCGTAACCAGTCTCCTTGACCTCAGCCTCTCTTCTTGTAGCTCACCATAACCGCAGCAGTGTGGTCAGCCAGTGTTTACAGGTTGTGGAGCCTTTGACTCATCATTGCTTGTACCTAGGAAGACTTCCACCCTTTTTATACTTACAGGAAAATTCACAATTTTTCCTACCAAGCTTAGCTTAAATGTTACTTTATCATCACAACTGTATCCAATTCTTGTGAATAAGGTATAGCCAATAGACTCCTAGAGTGTTTAAAATTCTCTCCGTTATGACCTTTTATAATTTCTTTCTTTCTTTCTTTCTTCATTAAGTTTATTGGTACGTTTTAGGTATGTTGCTTATTTATTTTCATCTTTGCCAAATCTTATTTTTTTTATTCTTCAGGACATATATTAGTGCCCAAAATAAAGAATCCGCCCACATGCAGACACCTCACACAGAACATATCCCGTTCATCAATTTCCTTCCATTTTAAAATCACATGTTTCCTGGTTCATTGTTTGAAAGGATAGGTTTGCTTGCCTAGGTAGTTTATGTATCCTATGATAATCATCTCCACTGAAAGAGGATACCTTGCCCCAGCAGTTTTCTAGTGCTTGGCTGGCTTTAGAAGAATCAGCTCTAAGACTCAGAAAATGCTAAATTCCAAATATATAACTCCATTTGGGAGATGCTGCTTTCATATACCTGTGGTGGCACCTTAAAAATCTGTCACAACAAGCTCTCTAGGTTCTGATGTGGTCACAGGTCTCTATTGCACCGCCTTTGCTTCTGATAGTGTCAACCCTCAGATATCATCACCATCCTTTGGGGGTTGATTCTGAAGGCATGTGGGCCATTCACTCTCCTCCCATCTATTTATTGCATCTACCAAATCTCTCCACTTCATGGAAACAATAACTATTTTGAGAGATGGGGAATCCAAGTTTGAGGCTAGTGTGAGATAGAAAAAATTGCAGTGCTTTTTCTGAACTCACACATTCACCATAGAATTCACTCCTGCTCACCAAAATTTGTATGAATTATTTTCCCACACTCACCAGCTCTCCACCACCAGCTAGTGTCCTCTAATTCAAGTCAATTCTGATATTTCCAAAGAGGGTCCAGGATTAAATTCCACAGGTTAAGAGCTTGGTCTCATAAGACTGCACCCTCCTAAGATGTCATCCGTCCTTCTGACTGAACAACTATAAATAAGGATTCCTAAGACTCTCTCCTCATGTTTGCTTAGTTTTCCAGAGAAGCTCTCAGGACAGAGGGAAACATGAGTTTATATTCACCAATTGATATTATGAAGGATACATTTGAAGAGATACATAAGGCAAGGGATGTGAGAGGGAGCTTCTGCTCTCTCTAGGCACAACAACCTCTCTGCACCTTCACATGTTGTTCTTTTGATTGATTAATTCACTAGCAATTGGTGATCAATTCAACCTTCAGCCTCTCTTACTTCCCAGAGGTTGAGTATGGAAGGGAAAGCTAAAAGTTCCAATCCACTAATCATATTGCTGGTCCAGGAGCCTCCCAAATGTCTCCTCATTAGAACAAAAACTGGTCTCATCACCCAGGAAGTTCCAAGGGATTCAGGAGCTCTCTGTCAGATTTATCAGTCAGGAAATTGCAAAGGCCTTAGAAATTCTGTGTTAAAAAATAGAATGAAAGACCAAATATTAGAACAAAACATTTCACTAGTGTCTAATCTACAAGGGTTTTAAAAGCTGTATGTCAGGAACTGGGAGTAGACTTCTCTCTCTCTCTCCCACTTTCTCACCTCTCTCTCTTTACACACACGCATTTCTTATTTCACAAAGCTTCTCTCTTTATGGTCCTGGATTAGTAGTGAATAATCTGGTTGCTTACTGTTTCTTGTAGTAGGACACGAGACACAGGCACATGATTTTATGGGTGATACCAAATACTCAGTAGTCAAGCAATATTACATGCATTATTTTAGAAAGTACTAAGTATTTTGCAAAATAATACAAAAAAAACTCCAATGAACAAAATACCAACATTGTAAATAAAGATAGGCCACTTGTAAATAAGACTCTGTAGTACTGAGCCATATTGATCCCTGAAGCAAAAGCAAAATCTGCAATACTGATCTGGTCTTTATTTACAGTGTTGTTGTTTTGTTCATCATAGATGAACCTCTCCTTAGTCTTGTCTCTGCTCCAGAGCCTCTATCTATTAAAGTCTTTACTGCTTCTGCTGTAGGAAAGATCCTCCCGCCCAAAGTCTCAATGTTAGATGATTTTCTTTTCTCTCACACACGAGTGGCAAAAGGGCTGGGTTTTAAATTTTTTGAGATGACTCCTTGGACTCTGGATTCAAAGACTTATTTGAATTGCGAAATCTTTTAGGTTGTCTTTTCCAAATGCATTTCTTCTCAATGTTTATCACAGTGACACGGCCTTTTTATGGCACTCTGAAGTGCTTCAGAGAAAACGGAGAGCAATTTAACACCGCTGATTTACTCTTTCAGGCCTACAGTAATTTCCTTACTGCCTAATTATAAGGCTTAGTTTAATTTACTCTACACATAATGTTTACTGATGCACATATGGTGCTACATTTCGGGAAACTATACCCAGAACAGGTATTTTTGTCATGCCACAGCATGGAAAATTTCCTTCATATATAGAAAATAAATGCGAAGAAGTTTGTCTTAACAAAAAATGTCCCCCAATGAGAAAGGGAAAAAGTCATACCTACCTATAACTTGTGGAAGAAAGCTACAATCCCTTTAAACACTTATTTTTAAAGCTGAATGATTATGTGGTTGCATATGTCTAAATTTTTAAGGTTTATTGCCTATAAAGATTTAAAATACCCCCACCCCCAAATCAAGGGATTGAAAAAGAAATAGGGGAAAAAGAAAGAGGAAGAGCAAATAATAGTGTCTCTGGGGCATATTTTTCAGCTATGGATTCCTTTGAAAGGAAATATATTAATCTAAAGATCATGGACTCTTTCTTAGAGGTAGAAGGAATGCTTAGGAAATCTTCTGTCAGCCTTCTGGGGACTCTTCTGCCAGTTACCTTTAGGCCTGTGTGATCATCCCCTGTCCCAGCAGCTGGTACTTTATTGGGTTGTTTCAGTTGTTGGAAAATTAGGTGACCTTGTGATTATTAACTGTTGGTGTCACTTTCCTTCATGTAAAACTGAACTCTTTCCAAATTGAAGGCCCAGATAAAGATTCAGTAAAGAAGTACATTTAGAGTTCTAGTAGTAACTGCTATTGCACATGATGTCTTAGCTTCACATTCAGTTTCTTTGCTTGTTCCACATCTTGAGTGCTAAGAATGTTTAGGCTTAGGGACCCAGGACTGATGCCTTCTTTTCTCTGAGACAACTGAAATAATCAGCTCTTGATCATTTGATCTATTGCTCCCAGCTGTACAGAAAAGCAAAGCTGTCCTCTGAAACTAACATTAGTTTGCTGTCCAATCTTTCCTTGATTCTTTGACAATCTTTAGAGTTCTTCAGAGAGATCTTAATATCAGAACAATTATTTTTTTAAACAAAGTGTTGAAATTCCAGTAGGAAGATTAAATTTCTTACTGACAAAAAATTCATAAGTTAGGGAACCCAAGCGGGCTGGCTGACTCTGAAGCCTGTCCTTTTAATGACTGCAGTGTTTAAAGTTGGTACACTTTAGTCTTAGATTATAGCTTTTATTAAAATTTCCTTAAAAGGAAGAACATGAGGTACATATCAATTATTAATGAGTCCTGCATTTCTGCATAATCATTATAAGCTTCTTGTTTAATATAATCACCAGTTTTTCTTCCTTAAGCTGTCCAGATCTGTGTCCAGTCCCATGTATGAAACTGAACTGTGAATGTGATTTCAAATGTAATTTAAAATAAGAACCCAGAAAAATCATGTAAAGGTACAAATTCCCAATGATGAATGTCATCATAATGTACACCTAAAATGTACCAATAAACTTAATGAATATAAAAAATTAATCAGGGGGAAATATAAAGGCCTTTTATTTTTGCTGGGGATGATATCTGATTAAATCTACATTAAAAGAATACCAGACATACTTGGTACATTCAGCGAGAAATTATTGAAAGGATTTCATGCCAAGTGTTCCACAATTAAAAGCAAACTATTTGTCCTAAGGAATTTGGGGATGAGAGACTTTTTCTATCTGATCCAGCCATAAGTGCTTGTCAGAAGTTTGGATGATTCACGAATCCCAGCCCCATTCTCTTGTCTTCCATAGTTTCTTAGTTTCTCATGAGGGCATCAATCCTGTTTAACTGTTAATGGTAGGACTTATGTATTTTTGATTCCTTCAATTTCAAAGTGGATCAGGCTGTCTTAAATAGCTGCAGTCCAAGTTGCAACCATGAACAGAGGTTAACAGCACTTTGGCCAAAGCAACCTGGGAGTTCTGGGAGACCAGTTAGTAGGAGAGGGAGGGAACAGAATTCTAAGAGCAGGGAGAACTCAGCACTAATAAACCATGCTTGATATAGCAGATTTGCTCCAGCCCCTCCTTTTAAATCCACAGGCTCAAATGAATGTGCCCTTGGGCTGTATGTGTAGATGCCAAAATAACTAC